GGTACGGTCATCCATTTGTGGACGCGCAGGTCGGTATGTTGCAGCTTGAAAGGCGGTATAAGGCCTCCATTTGTGGACGGGCGGGTCGGTATGTTGCAGCTTGAAAGGCGGTATAAGGGTATTTTCTTGGAAAAGGCGCTACGCAGCGCCTGCTCAGGGGCGCGGAATTCCGTCCTGCCAGGCGTATTAATCCTACTCGTCTTAAGGGATTTATCGTGCCAACTGCCTTAAGTACCGGCATAATTAGAAACAAAGAAACAAATATTGGGGAAAGGAATACACTCAACATCACAGATGATCCGTTTCGCCCGTTATCGTAGACGAATCATCGATGTCTTACCAACCCCCGGGCTCTTCAGTACGAAAAAATAACCTTAGCTCACTCAGCAACTTATCTGTAACTGTTCTTGGGTAATGTTCTGCCAGCCTACCCAGGTCCCTGAAATCTATGTTCGCCTTCGCTCTATGTTGTTACCCTTTTGTTCTCTCTTTGGTACAAGTATTGTTTGGAATTTGTAGACACTGCGGAGACCTCATCAAGAGGAGAGGGGGGAAGCTCGTGTTCGACCGGCAGGTAGGGAAGGAAACGTAAGCCTGGAGTCAGCCAACACCCATTTGTGTGGCCGAATGCATGGCACATACTCAGACGGTAACAAACAAAAGTAAATATAGCGATATAGAAAAAAATTGTATATATACTGCTCAGAAGAGCAAACCTTTCATTTCACGGTACTAGTTCCCTATATTGAGTGATGTTTGGCTCCTCGATTCCTTTTCATTCTTTAACGATCATCTCTATCGGTGGCGGCGTCCGCTGTTCCGATATGTTATGACGCCAGTACTCCTGATTGATTATGCCTGTACTAAGCGGATACCAGCTATCTTCATGTCCATGTGCAGCTGAATAGAGATGCTGATCAGTTGCAAAAACCAGACCCCAGACGGGACTCGAACCTGCATCTCCCGCTGGCCGGACGAATGCGCTAACCATGGGCCGCTCTTATCTTCTCAGCACAATAGCCTTTCGCCCAAAACTAAGAGGTTTTGTGATAAATTTCAAAGCACGAACCACTACGTTGAACAGCGGATATCTTACTAAAACATCTTAAAAACACGTTCATGTGCAGAGTCCAGCGCTGTTTGGAGCATCATTCCGGACACCTTGCACTGGAGAACGACAGTCTTACGGACGGTTAACCCTTGTGCGAAGTACATGGCCGTTCCATTTTTCATCAGCTGTGTGCGCTATACTGGAGGGGACACATCATTAGTTGAGGACTTTGATTGAGTCCGTTCGACTCCTTCCCATCCTTAGTTCCCTCTTCATCAAACTGTCGAGCAGGGGAGGGGGAGGGGGGGGACGGGGGAGGGCAAGTACACTATGGAAGAAGGCAGAAACCACGAAAAGTTCAGCAACCTCCCTTTCAGCAGGCAAATAGGACCCCCCTCCCTACAATGTCCCTGAAGCAAGAAAAATCAGCTATCAAAAAAATTTTTTTCTCAGCCAAACTACGCTCTCCCTCTCCCAGCGACCAAATACAACCCCCCCCTATTGTTGGGGAATCCTTAACAAACGATGTGCCCTAATATCAGATTTCTTGTGTGTGTCTCGTTGCAGATGCGTTCCAATCGTGACGCCCGTCGTCCAACGCAACATTCCATTCCCATCACACCGATTCGGGTCTCAGATCCTTGATCATGGGCCAGCACTCAGCGCCATGTGGTTTCGACTCCAAAGCGAAGATGGAAACACCATTCACTTGTACCACTTCGCAGCTTCACTGGGGTGAGAGCTGTTATTTAGCAGGAACTACCAAAGAGAAGTAACGGAAGTGAAAAATGTCCCACCCCACCGAAGACTGCCCAGAAAGGTCTTATCAACGTTGAGATGTTTTGCGTCTGGATTCCTTGTTGGCTGGGCTGGTAGAAAACGTTTCAGTCAAGAATTCCATCTGTAACAATTGGAATCTGCCTTGCAATGCTTTGTCGGTAATCGATCTGGGCCAGTGGTCATCTTCGGAATGCATGAGGTGTTCGGCTACCTGATCTTTGAAACCTTGACGAATGCGGCTGCGTTTCTGATCTTCGTCGGGAGCTCCGAACTCCTTCTCTCAGTTGGGTGTAGGGGAAAATTCTGAGCATCCTAACCCCGCTCACACCAACCACAAATGCTCATAAGCGCACGACTGGTGATGGGTATTGCATTTCCTTAATCACCGTTGTTTTGGTTTTCACCCGTCCAGTTTCGTCCGGTTTCTTGTGATGAGCTTGTACAGGGGGGGGGGGGCAAAAGAAAAGACACTTCGCCCGAGGCATATCAGTAAAGAATACGCAGCCCAAGAGAAGACGTGGATACGAGTACCAGGGCGGAAGATACCCAAGATGTTCCTCGATAAGCAGGAGCTGGCTCTCGCCCATCACCTTCATGTACACCAAAATATGAAGTCTCCAGTCGCAGCCTGACTGGAGAAGACCTTTGGAATTCATGTCACCTCCAAACAGCTGCGAAACTTCTTGTATGGAGTCACCCATGACAGCTACCTGGGACCGGCACTCTTGATCTGGAGGACCTCCAACATGAGCAGCTCCGACAACGTCGCCACGGTCCAGGATATCATCTTCTCTGCAGTCGCCAAGGCGCAGCTTGGTGGTATGGATCGGAAGTTTCTGGAATGGGAAGACCGTATTTTCTTTGTGGACCCCGGACTGGAAGTGATCGCTGACTGTTACATCGAACAGCTCGAGGAGAACATACTGCTTCCATGTCGTCGCCTGTACCTCCTTGGGAACTTCGTACAGCAGGATTGGGTGCCAGCGCATGGAATCGAAGGGCGTTGGAAAAACTCTCGCCTACTTGGAATCGGAAGGGCGTTGAGTACCTGAAGAAGATGGAATATCCAAGTGTGTCACCTGACCTAAACCCCCTCAATTACCGGGTTCGGCGGAGCTCAACAGGGTGGTCTACAGTGGCGGAGAAATCAACGACCTCGCTGAACTCAGGCACCGAATCACGGTCGCGTGGCAGAATCTCTCGATGGCGTTCGTCCAGAAGGCTGTGGCGGAGTTTCGTGATCATGTACAATGTGCTGTTGAATTTGATGGTGGAATTTCCATTCAGAAGTTGATCAAGTGTAAGTTACATCGCCTTGAAAGCCGAGGAAAAAAGTGCCTTTTTCACTCCCGTACGTCTCTATTAACTGCATACTCCTTTAGTGCGGAAAGTCAACCGTACCTTGCGGGAGACATTTTGCATTCTTGCTCCGACTATTTTCTCTACTAGTACATCAGCTAACCCTCACAGCCTCAGGTTTGGACTCGAGAGCCTGAGGTTTGGACTCAACAACTCACATTATCGCGAGTCACTGGAATCATGTCTGCTTAGTTGGAACTTGTAGACTTGTGCTTTCAGTGTTCACTTCTCTAACACAAAACGAACATCGAACTTGTAGCGCTTTATCCCCAATTTTTTTCTTGCCCGCGCCTTCGTAACACTCATTTGCGTCCGAAGTCAAAGTTGACGATTTTCTGACTTCCGCGTTATCTTCAGTAACGATCACATTTTTCAAAAGAACATTTTCAGATGCCTTTCGAACCCGTGACGAAGCGTACAAAAGCAGAGGTTGAAACTGTTGAGAGAATCCCCGACCTGAAAATCATCAAACCAAAGGTTCGTCAAAGGAATAGGGGGGACATCGAGAGATGCGCACAAATCGAAGCTAATTCTGTTGCATCCACTTCTTTTTCAGGTTTTTCCTGATGATCGCGGTTACTTTGTCGAGCGATTCAATAGTGCTGAATTTGCTGAGGAACTTAACTTCAAAGAGGAGTTCAAACAGGCAAGGGCCTACTTCTTTACCAAATTTTGAAACCCACGCCTATCCCTTGAACAAGGCAGCAGACAAAAATTCCTTGAGTAACCACACTTGTGAACTGTTAGATGTTGCTACTATTATGGTAGACTTCTTCTTCTT